AATAGTGGGATTGACCGTCACTTTATAACGCCCCCACGACTGAAAGGGCGAGCATGTTTGGTGTGACGGGGATTCGAACCCGCGACCCTCAGATTGCGAGTCGAGCGCCCTAACCACCTGGCCATGCCGGGCCCCCCGTGATGAAGGGACTAGTGACAAGCAGACTTCCCGAAGCGTCAAGCGCTCGACTAACGAGGAAGGAGAGGTAAGTTTTAAACGCTTGTATGAATTTAAGTATTTGTATATCTAAATAGTATAAGTTGATTTAATTTCCTTTACAAAATTATATTGATAAGTGCGTTTTTCTACACTAATTTTTTTCTGTCTTTTACAAGTATCTGTTAAACGTCCCCACAATGAAAAATGAGAATTTATTGTTAAAACAAGAAGAAATACCTAATAGCCGCGGCTGTAATTAGATCTCATATTGGTCAAGAGATGGAGCTTTAAGCTATGCCGCGGCTAAAAACAGAGAATAAGAAAGTTAAAAAGTACAATACAACTTCTACAACATATCATTTAATCCTGAATCATACGGACAGCCACTTACAAACATTATGAACACACTTAATAAGAATATTTAGAACATATTGGAAGAGACAATAAGTCACTTAAACAACATAGATAAAGTTAGAGTTTGCCTTTATTTTAATCATTTGGATAAACCAATAAGTAGTTGTTTACAAAATAAGGAACTGTTTTCACCCGAAATTATTTTAACCAACATCGAAAAGGTCAATCAAAATAAATAGAACACGCCTTTAGACGAGTCTTTTAGAATTAAGATTACTGCATTGGAATTACATGTTGGCAGTGGCGGCAGTAATTATAAGTTATCAAAAATTAGTATTGACCGACTTAAAAAAAGGATCAGTTATATGTTTAAAGAATAACGATGACTAAGGCTTGCGTAGTCCTTAGGATCATCAACTAATCAGTAGTATTTTACCTTATCTGCCATATGTAATATGAAACATATGTAATACAATAAAACATAAGATATGTAATATGAAACATATGTAATACAATAAAACATAAGATATGTAATATGAAACATATGTAATATAATAAAACATAAGATATGTAATATGAAACATATGTAATACAATAAAACATAAGATATGTAATATGAAACATATGTAATACAATAAAACATAAGATATGTAATATGAAACATATGTAATACAATAAAACATAAGATATGTAATATGAAACATATGTAATACAATAAAACATAAGATATGTAATATGAAACATATGTAATACAATAAAACATAAGGTATGTAATATGAAACATATGTAATACAATAAAATATAAGATATGTAATATGAAACATATGTAATACAATAAAACATAAGATGAGACAAGTTGAAATATTTACGCAATCCTACAGAAGTACAATAACACCATCTTCTTCCACGCTCGTAAGCAAGGGGGGGGGGGGGTTCGGCAGAACTCCGCATTTTTGTGATGTAAAAAAATACTGCCACTAACTTCATGTTCAGGTGAATATTCGGCATCTGCTCTCCGCCAGTTGAATAATTATCTGTCTAATTACACAAACCAAAGAAAAACTGAGTGCTCTAGCTTTAATCTATAATTATTGTGACACTGTTATCAATACTGAAATATTGAAACTGTATGTAAGTTATTTATGGAAAAGCAGCCAGAAGAATGGAGTACGCTAACTTGTTATATCATACGTGTGTGATAGGCAATGATTGAAATAGCTAATATACTATTGTTGTACAGAGTTCTTTAAATTAATAAATTATTTAACAGTTAATAACTACTCTGCATATACATAGTACAGTACTTTGCTATAATAAAACATATATATTTATGCTAATTTAAGTCTAGTTACAACAGAATGAAGATTTGTTTGTGGGCCTTATGTGAACAGCCGTGCAATTGTTTGAGCTATATTTCATGCAAAATTGCTTCCAGATTTAATCTCATAGCACCTATCTTTAGACATTTTTTTCTGGGGGAATACCCACAGACTTCCATAACATTTACATGATTTGCATGCTGATTGTGTTTCGCACATTATGCGTCGGCATTTAATCTCACAAATTAGATCCCCGCTTCCAAACATTCTGCGTACGGGCCTGGCCTTTATAAAACACACAGAATTCGCCTAGTAAGATCATACACCTTTGTAAAACGTATGTAAGAGAAAAATATAAGGTTGATAAGATTAAAATAGCAATCTGTTTCACTTATATCAGTACGTTAAATATGATAGTAACACTATCCAACTGTAGAAACAGCAATAAATATAGAAGCGAAAACTTTATAAATAATGATGAAGTTAGTGAAGTGTTTTGTACATAAAATGACGGATAATTGTAAAACATATGGTAGGCGGATATGGTAAAATACTATTAGTTAATTAAAACATATGGTAGGCAGATGGTAAAATACTATTAGTTAATCGATGATCCTACAAACTATGCTAACCTTGCCTTTAAGGCAGATATGGTAAAATACTATTAGTTAATCGATGATCCTACAAACTATGCTAACATTGCCTTTAAGGCAGATATGGTAAAATACTATTAGTTAATCGGTGATCCTACAAACTATGCTAACATTGCCTTTAGTACCATCCTCCTCCTATAAAAACACATATTATATAGTTAAATATATAAATGTAAAATATAAACATATGTTGAGGCAAGTTGCACTCTGTATGCAGTCCAGTAACACTGACCCTTATAGAAACAAACATCATCCACCTTTGTACAACACATACAATACACCTAGTAACACCATCTGCTTATACAAACACTGTCTGTAGTAATACAATCCACCTATAGATACACAGTTCACCTTTCTAAAACATATTGAATGTTTTACTTACAAAGAGAAACTGTAAACGCAACATTAGGCAAGTTAGATTAACTTATTAATTTTAAGACTTTGATTGTTACTATAAAGTTAATAACACATTGATCTATCGGCACTTTCATCATATCAATGCGTCCTCTGGTGCTACTTCGTGGCCCTAGAAACACGCTCTCTTTTGTGTAACACTCGAACTATGATGCCACACCCAGCAATGCTCTCTCTGATAGGAGGCAAGTTCCGTTGTCATGGCGGCATGACAACTCTTGCCTGTAATAGCGGCCTAGCCACGTGCTTTCTGGACAACTTCAATTGTCATGACGGCCTAGCAATGAGTCCCTAACAACACACCCTCTGGTTCCACCTCGTGGAAGTCATCGTCTCTACCACCCCCACCTCCCATAAGGCAGCCAATCAGCACATGTGTCTGAACAAGCCGGATAACTACCGCTAAGTTCCATGGTTAACATTCTGTGTATCTTTTCGTGATATCCAACAAAACAAAAAGAAAAATTAATGTACTGGTGATTCAGAAAAAAATACTGAATTGTTTGGTAGGGAATTAAAATACTAAGTACAACAAATAAATCTAGTTTTCCCTTTATTTTTAAAAATTCAAATACTGTGTAACCAGGTCGTTTGTGTAGTCCCAGAAAGTTAAATACAATTGTTTCTTGGTTCTGTTGATGTTGGTAAAGAGCTTCTCATTGAATGTTCTTCCCTCTGTGGATTAGCAGTTAGCTTGAGGGCTTATACGTAAAAATTCAAGGTTTAGTCCTTGCGGTAGGTACAATACAGAAAACTCACTGTGCAGCACCCTTCCCCACTAGCTCAGCTGTAAATCTGAAGGCTTATAACGCTAAAAACCGGGTTTCCATACCCGTGGTGGACACGGCACAGATAGTCCAATGTGTAGTTTTGCGCTTAGCAATAAAATTACTGGGAAACATGAGGAAAGATATTTTATTATGTTGATATTTCTCTCAGCTATTGAATAATACTTTCGTAACCTGAAAAGGATGCAAAAACTGATATATTTTCAGAAAGGTTTTTGTAAATAATAGTTAAAAAAATCGATTCAAAGTTAATTAAACAAACATACAAGTTACGTTGATTAAAATAGAAATTTAAAAGCATCATCATAAAGTTTTATCAAACTTTATTTAGCACAGTGGGTCTTCAATAACAAAGATAAACCTAAAGGAATTTTGTGTTCTTACAAATGTTAAAAGCACGGTCATAAGACACTTAAGAAAGTATCTTCATAAAAATATGTACAGTTTAATAATTACTAATTTAAAAGCATCATCATAAAGTTTTATCAAACTTTATTTAGCACAGTGGGTCTTCAATAACAAAGATAAACCTAAAGGAATTTTGTGTTCTTACAAATATTAAAACCACGGTCATAAGACACTTAAGAAAGTATCTTCATAAAAATATGTACAGTTTAATAATTACTAATACTGCATTTATCTACATTTAAATACAAATTCATACATTTGATGTAAGCTACAATATGATGTCTCTCATGTATCCAAACATTGGTCACACTCAATACTGGGAAATACCTGGCTTCAACAATCTGTCTTCGGTGTTGAGTTCTCTGCAAAATAATAATAAAACTTCATACCTCATGATAATTACTAATATAATGTCATCATAAAAAGCGTATGCTCTAAGCATCGCAGAATGAGAGACTTTAATACGCATATTTTTCTTGTTATATATTCTCCACACACAAGATGCTTTTGTTTGTTTGTTTGTAGTTAAGCACAAAGGTACACAAAGGGTTATCTGTGCTCTTCCATCCACGGGTATAGAAACTCGGATTCTAGCGTTGTAAGTCCGCAGACATACCGCTGTGCCATTGGGGGGCACACAAGATGCAAACTAAAATCATTCTTACAAAATAGTGACAACTTCCAATCACATAAAATAGCAACGATTATCACTCACACAAAATAGCGACACTATCATTCACACAAACTAGTGAAGATTTCAGGTGTTGTTTTTGGCAATCAGAACAGGCGAAAAATATACTTTAATATTAATTAGTTTTCCTCTGTATTACGAGGAAATTTGCATGCATGAGAGTATTTTTAGTTATCATGAACATGAGAAAGTTTGAGACATACTTACATAGTTTTAAGAAGTAGGCGACTGAACAAAGGAGTAACGTGACTACCCCACAGTAAGCACCAAGGCTGCAGGAGTTGTGAATTAACACTCCTGCGGCGCTAGTACTTAGAATTGGGTCTCACTTGCTTCAGTTAATAAAACATTGTATGATTCATACCATCAAAGTTTCAAGCATTTGACGTCTTTCCAATAGTCCTTTGACTTGAGCCTCACAAATAAAGTTCTTGAGTCATCGTTGAAACATAGTACCTCATACTGTCTCCAAACATGCGGACATCTTAGTGGTGGTACATATAACTGGGTCACATTATTGTTTCTTGAGACATTGTCACAATGTCCAACTTCATCAAGGTTCCAAGCATGTAGAAAAATTAGGGGTGGTACTTATAACTAAGTTACATTATTGTTTCTTGAGACATTGTCACAATGTCCAACTTCATCAACGTTTCAAGCATGTAGAAACCTTAGGGGTGGTACTTATAACTAAGTTACATTATTGTTTCTTGAGACATTGTCACAGTGTCCAACTTCATCAAGGCTACAAGCATGTGGAATTCTTAGGTGTGGTACTTATAACTAAGTTACATTATTGCTTTTTGATATATTGTTGCACCTCTTCATAATTTCAATGTTCCAACACCTGCGATGTTGCTATTTAGAAAATCGTAGTTCTTGAATTATTATTGTAATGTCGAGCTCCATTAGGGCTTCAAACTTCCCACTTCCAAAGCATTAGCTTCTAAAATTGAGTTTCACTACAGGGTTCTGAAAAGTTAGTTACCCAGTTTTATCACAAAGAAGGTTCAACCACTCTCATATCACCCACTTCTGCTCTACTCTTTTAACTTAGATCCCATCAATTGCTTAAAAATACTGTTACTGCATCATGAGTTAAGAGGCTGGCCTTACATTGAAACACTGTTATTATGCCATTCTATATCAGCCTGACCTTGGATTAAAATATTGTTGCATCAGTGTTATTTCATTGACGAGGTCTTTAATATTATATAGTGAAACTAATTCAATGTTCAGTCCATGTGACGAAAACAAATTACCTTATGTCCTCCTTTAAGATTGAATACTTTTAAACTGTTGTAAGTTGTTGTTAGCCTATGTAATAAATGATGTTGAAATATCTCTAACACTACTAGGACTAACATAAAATCAACTTACTGGTACAAAGTAGCTCAATAAGCACAATAGTAAACACATCCAAATACTTTACAAAAAAAAATAACACTGAATTGTTCAACTCTACATCTTAAGATAATCCTCTATCTTGAACATAAGCTCTATCCCTTTGACTATCTTTCAACTAACCCTACTCTTGAAACAAATATCCCTTATTTATAATATAGCTTCGAATGCACAAGAAAAATATAACATCAGCTCAGAATTTTCTAAGCATTTTGGGCTTATCTTAATAGCATGTGCTACCTAGCTAAAATACAAGTTACAATATTAAAAATGTATTGTACAACACTGCCCCAATACAGGATTGTGAAGGCCCTTCAACAATCTGAATACATAATAATAATAATAAAACACTACAATAACTGCCCATTTACCAAGTCTTTTTGATAGTTTTTCCTTCTAAGGTCCAAAGTATGTGTACCTCATTACCAATGGTTGTCCCGTTATTGGAAGAACGCTTCCTAGTAGATGAATGGGTGAATCCACTGACGGATCTAACTTTAATGGTCATCTCTGAGAGTAGTCTCAACAGAAACTCCAGACTTCTCAGCATGTTGAGTTTTTACTGAAGTAACCCAGTTAGTCATTCTTTCATCAATGTACTTCCAAAGACGATCACTGTGGATGACATTTGGTTTGGATTGTCTATCTTCTGAACACCTACATAACTTTGAAGTGTGCTCTCTCTCATGACAAATATTATCCAGCTGTACCCTGTCACTTCAATGGAATTTAGTTTTATCAGCACTTACAGCATAGTCACCTTTTGCTTTACGATAATTCAGTTTAAATATTGACTGGGTAAAGTCGGGTATGACACCTTTATTTTTCACATCCAGGAGAACTCTTTCAACCATTAATCATTCATGACATGCTTTAGTATTCCTATTAACTTCTGTTATGAGTATCTAACTTCTTGGCAGCACAGTCACCACTGTTTTTATTTCCACTAGACCTTCAACCCCTGATGTAGTAACTGCCATGTAGTGCACTGAAATTTTCTGGTCATAGACTATGAAGGTATCTGAAACTAGCTTAACTTTACATCCATGTCTACACATCAAATCAGTTCCCAATATGCACTCTTCCTCGATGTCAATTCCCACACATCATGAGGTGTAGAGAAGCTTCCTAGAATAAGGGTTCCCTTTTGATAGAATTTGATGCCCACCCTGTTGTTTGCATCGGTTCCTTTTCTTTCTTCTTCTCTGGGGTCAATTTTCAATCTTTCATTAATACACTGGGACAACCAATTGTAGTTGTAGAAACATTGCCAATCAGCATACTGCAAGGTGTTCCATCAATAACCTCATTGCCTCGTGGATGATTTTCCTCAAATAATGACCCTATTTTCTTATTTGGGATAGCTGGAGTATTCCCTGCTGAACATCGTTTCACAGATGCAACTAAATCCTGTTTTCTTGATTTCTAATTACCTCTGCACTGCTCATTAGCTCTGTCATTTTGGCTTAATAACATATGTTGATTTATTTCAGTCTTAGCTGTAATGGCTAGGTTATCTACATCTATAACAATTACTTATTTCTGATATCCTTTGAGAGAAGCTTTTATTCCATACAGGCCTTTGTCTGCAGTTCCTGGCAATACATCTATTCAAGTTATACTTGAAACATCTATCGTGTTCTGGTTTATTTCCTCTATTATACTTAACTAATTGGCTAACTAATACTTTAACTTCTACATTATCAATAGAGGAACTGAGGTTTCAATACTACAGAATCTTATATTTCAATAACTGCTAAATGGTGCCATTAGTGGTTTATCTGTAACTTTGATGGATTTATGTTCTATCATCAACTACAAAGTTTCACAGATGGATTTACACCTACTTTGTTTCAGCATGATTCTCATATTCTCTCTGTCATGGTGTTTATAAATTGGTCACGTGCCAGCAAAACAATCATTTCACAAGGAGTGTCTGGGTAAGATAATTGGGCAAACTTTTCTAAATCTTCTGTAAGTTCAGCTAAAGATTCTTTTTTTTTTCATACCCTGTTCTGAAACTTTGCTCTAGATGTTTTGGTGCAACACTCCAAACCTGTTGAATAAGACAGCTACCAATGCTTGATATGTATTATGGCCCTTACCTGGAAGGCTGCTTAATGTTGTCAGAGCTGGTCCTTTTAAATGGACAGCAAAATGTATAGCTTGTTGTTCACTATTGTTCACTTCCATTCACCTTCCCATCGTAGTCCATTGGTTTCTCTACTGACTGATGTTGAACTGGCTATCTAAATTAGATTTAGTAGTGCCATGACTAGAGTAATCCAGAAAGGTCTTTCAGTCAGGTGGCACAACAGTAGTAGTAATAGGTGTAAACCAAATAAGTCCTATTCTGCATCTCATAGTAGATGGTATTCTTGGCTTAAACTTCTGAGCCAATGCAGAAAGATGTATGGCTGGTTTACCCTTTGCATTTAATAATTCATTTACCAGATGTTCATACTGTCACTGATGTTCTTTTCTATCTGAATGATGCTCAGTTTCTACCTCGTTGACATCTTTCTTTACTTTACTTTTGACTTCATTTATTTTGTTATTACAGCCTTGCCACACTTTTTTCAATTTTGTCATTTCAGTCTTTCCATACTTTTCTAATATTATTGTTGTAATCTCTCTTTATGGCTCACAATGGCTCCTTCAATCAGATTTATTTTCGATTTTAAGTCTTACTCAAATAGTACATCTTTCTCTTGCAACTCCTCTCCTAAATTTCCATTATATTCTTTCTGATATTTTGTATTTATATCTCTTTTGTCTTAATCTTCTTTAAAGTTTCTGTCTAATTTTCGGTTTCTTTCTTCCTGATCTTGTTTTTAATCATTTCATCACCTCAAGAAAGACTTTGCTCTCACTCTTTGATTTAGTAGTCATCACCTCTAACAGTTGTAATTTAGTCAAAGTTCTATTTCATTTTCATGAAAATACTACCCCACTTCTTACGCCGATGATGTAGTGTTGTTCTTTGGTTGTCTAGTTCTTTTCAATTATCTGGTGAAAATAAATCAATATTCAGTCCAAGTAACGAGGTCAAATTATCTTATTTTCTACTTTAATGCTTTACAAGCTTGAAAAATTGTATACTGTTGCAAGTTGTTGTAGGCTTACCTTGTAAATGACGTTCAAATCTCTCTAAAAGTATTAGAACTAAACTAAAATCAACTTTCTTGTACAAAATAACTCAATATGCACAATAACAAATAGAGATACAACTATCTCTCAACTAATTCTAGCCTTAAAACAACTATCCTTTATTTATAATCTAGTTTCAAATGTATGAGAAAAACTTGACATCCTCTTAGAAATTTCTAGGTGTTTTAAGCCTATCTTAAAGTTATGCTTCCTATAGTTATCATATAAATTACATCAAAAATACAGCTTCCAATAATACTTTTATTATACTGTTACGTCTCCGTTCGTTAGTTAATTTTCCGTAAATTCGTTCCGACGAAACTTTAGCGACACAAG